GCACCTGTCCCAGAGTTTTAATCTTAACTAAGATAATTATAAACACGTTTTTCACCTACAGAAAGTCCACTGGAACATTTAAAAGTTGAACATGATGCATATAGTTCTTTTTTCTATTGAACTGTATGCATATTGGAAGGTATTTAGCTCCCTGCCTTGTCCACTGAATATCTCTTGTGCTCTCCCAACCCCTAAACTTATGACAATTAAAAATGCCCCTTATATTTTCAAAATGCCTCCTGGGAGCTATATCACCTCTTTTGAGAACCACTGGCTTAGAGTTGAAACAGAGTCAACAAATACACAAGAAAAATAAAACATTATAAGTGCTCTGAATTCACAGGTAATTCTACTGTAGACAGGCTCCTAGGAGAGGTGATATGTAAGCTGAGTCTTGTAAAATCCATGTGGACTAGGATAAAAAGACATGGCAGGCAGAATGAATACGTTATAAAGTTTATAATACTCAAGACTTGCAAATTGTTCGGTACAAGTGGAATCTAGAATGCAGAGGTAGAGTTTATCAGGAAACAATCCAGGGAGGTACACAGAATCATGGAAAGATTGTCTTCCATACTAAGGTACAAAGGTGCATGCACTCTGTGTGTGTGTGTGTGTGTGTGTGTGTGTGTGTGTGTGCACGCACGCGTGTGCGTGTGTAGTTTATGGCAAGGGACTGACATGATCAAGTTTGCTTCTTAGAAATGAGTGGATCACCAGGGTGTAGGATGGAAGGCAAGAAAATCAGTTGCTTTTACTATAGACTTTCCAGTAATAATTTTAAGAATCTACCATTTAATAGTGTCCAGGAGCTTAGCCCTCTTGAATGTCATTTTAGTGTACTCTTGTTTTTACTCTCCTTTTAAAAAAAAAAAAAAAACTGCTGAAACTTTAGGAATCACTGTTTCTGTTCTAGTAATAACTACACACCTTCCTTGCACCTAACAATCTCCCTCATACAAGTTAGACTGTGGTGCATTTTCCTTTCACTTTTATATATATTGACTTTTGAGATCTCATTTTAGTTTAATTTCTCTTTAATATGTTCTCTAATATTTCAAGCTTACTCCTAAGGAAACTTTCCTCTAGCTTAATCTGTCTCTTTATTTTCAATTTTCCTCTGCTTATGTTCTGATATTAAGACTGACATGTTTTTCATATGACTCCAGTTTTTCTGTGACATTTTTAAGCAGTAATGTTCCTCAGAGACAGTATTTAAAAAGAATCTGTCTTTTTATTGGGACAGCAATAATTTCTTTCAGTTATTTATCTAGTGTTATCTAAGAAGATAGCATATTTTTCAATGAGGGTGCCCCTTTGTTCTTACTGTTTTATTAATAAAATGTACCCTTTTAGGTTGAATGCATAATTTTAGTCTGAAATCCAAAGCCTTGTTTGGAATTCATGAAATTAACAAATTCAGGGCCAACTTGAGTTTATATGGTTGGGGATGACTCAAGACTATTTATCAGTCACATCAATTGAAGATTTATTTCTCTAAAGTTTCCTCCTTGACTCTAAATGTAGAATAGAATTTGAGTCTACTTAAAGTGAGATCATGTATTACCTATTTGAACCTAACTCTAATAATTTAAAGCTAGAAATTCACATGCTATTGCTCTGTGACTCATGTGGAACCCAATTTCTTTACACACCTGGGTGAAAATCCCAGTAAAAGCCAAACAACATGCTAACACTCTGCCTCTTTCGCGGCAAAACCTCAGTGGGACTCTAAAGGCGCTCTCCGGATTTGTTTATTCTGTCTATTAGTCCTGGCTGCAATCGCAGGCCGATTCATGCATGTGTTATTCAAGGTCATCTGCAGCTGCCCATAGACTAAATTATTTTTCTATTTAAACCCAAGCTTGCTTGCTAAAGCCTTTGTGGCCAGTTTTGCTAGCGTCACCGAGATCACTGAAGTGGTCAGTGCCTGTAGCCCAGGCAATATAGAAAGAGCCTCTTGTTTGTGTATTCAGCCACCAGATCAGTCTCTTTCAGGAGCCTGAGACTTAAACTCACTTATCCAGGCTGAAGCAGCTAAAGCCAACGTCACAAAAGTCAAGCACAAGGTGCAATATTGGCTGCAGAAAAACACAATGTTTAAAATTCCTCCATGGCCTGAGCTTGGTATAGGTCCCCTAAAGCTTATATTACATCAATCAATTCCTCTAGCTTCCAGAAGCCTAATCTCTATATGTTCTAGTTTTGGTTCCCAAATTCACTCAGGTATGTGGCAACAATGGAATTCCTGATAGTAAACCCCAGAACTAGATAAGTTTGTCCATCAGGAATAAGCCCAGCACTTCCCTGACCCTCTTTCCTCCCAGAAACAGAGCTTCTGCACCAAGCCAACAGCAAGGCTAAGACAGGCTCACAGTGCAAAGCAGACAGGCTTTGCAGAAGAGGACGGGAATAGGATGGGCTAGAGCTCCCAAGTCTGCCAGTTGGATTCCTCACTCCCCTTCCTCTATGCATGAGAAACAAGGGTCATGGCTTGAATAAGCCCTTCAAAGTGTGTGTTGGAAACTTAATCCCCAGTGCAGCAGTGGTGAGGGGGTGGGGCCTTTAAAAAGTGATTAGGTCATGGGGGCTTTATCCTCAAGGGTGGATTAATGCCACTGTCACAGCGGTAGTTAGTTATAAAGGCACATTCACTTTCTTGCTGTCTCTGTTGCA